GGTTCAGGATGGCAGTGTCTGCTGGGTCCAGATTGGCGATGTGGGCATGAAGATCTGCCAGGGTATCTGTGAACCATAGTCTGTCGTTCAGGGCACTGGTGTCATCTAGGAGATTGGAAAGATGTTCACATGCTTCCTCTCGCTGATAAGCCTGATCATGGGGTAGAAACGAGGCCAACATCTCAGCAATTAGTTGTTGTCGCCGCTGTTCCCTGGAGGGGATACGTAGTGAACAAATACATGAAGCTACGACAAATCTATCTCTAGTGACAGCGGTGGCATTGACCACAGCCAGAATGAAAGGTGGTACATCCACTTCTCTCAGAATGCAGAGTTGAATGCCGGCTTGGATTTTCCCCCGACCCATCACTTCTTCATTATCTGCCGGTGCTCTTCCATAATAAGGGGCACGTGCTGGGGGAGGAGCGACAGGTTCCAATTCTCCCCACCAAGACCCACGGTACGGTCCATACAGTGGGTTGGCTAGAGCCTCTTGTCGTCTTGCAGCCGGTAACCGATGCAGAAACGCGGCAATAGAGATGGTATCCACCCCAGTGACTAACTGTTCATCTTGCAGTGGATCCCTGGGGAGCTCACGTTTCTCTGCCATCTGCTCTAGCATTTGCAATAACTCACACGAGTAAACCAGAAAGGACCTTTAAAGGATTTGTGAAAAAAAAGAAGAAGAAAAAAAAAAGATTTAGCAGCTTGTCATTAGAGCAAAAATTTTGAGGGCTTTCAGCTCGTATGCTATAATATCCATTGCACAGAAAAGCAATTCACAAATTTTCCCAGATGATAGATCGTCAAGCATCTTTTCTTGTCAAGCAGTGAACATCACTGGTGTGTCAGTTCTTTTCACTGTAAGTTAAGGACCTTAAAGCAATGGGTTTCCCTGTTCTGAAATGTTGCTTTGGATGTGTTATAACAGTGATCATTTATTGTTTAATTATTTTTGATTTGTAATTAAATCTAGTATAACAAGGTAATATGCCGGTTCTGTGAGCTCAAATGCTGTTATTGATAATGCCACTCATATATCTGTCTCCACCTCTGCTTACTCCTGGCCCCGTTACATTGATGTGTGCTCATGCTTTAATTGATGACATGCATTTGTATTAGGATTTACACAGTAAATACTCTGCATGTTAGTGTTTATTTTGTCCCACCAGACTTTCTGTGCCAGAGACACCACTACTAAATATAGAAACCTGATAATCACTGAAAGTATGCTTAATATCTGAAAGATCTTCATTTTAAGGTATTAGCCTTCAACTAAATAAAACAAAATATATGTAATATGTAATATGTAATATTTGGCAGTTTTTCAAAATGAAATTCACAGCCCTCAAGGCTGTGTTCTGAAACCGCTGCTGTACTCTTTGTACACAACTGTATGGCCAAACATAGCTGAAATAAAACAATCAAATTCACAGACAACACAGTAGTCTGATCTCCAATAACTATGAGAAGTACTGTACTACCTGGATATCACAATGGTGCCAGACAACTGTCTCCCACTCAGCACCTATATGGCTAAAGAGATGGTGGTGGTCAGCAGTCCAGTGTATATAATCCTCTTAAAATAAAAGGGATCCCAGTTGAGAGGATAAACAACATTTGATATCTTGGAGCCTATATGACCTCACCTGATTGAATCATTAACAGACTCAAATATCTAAAGCCAGGCGTTAGCTGTACCATTCGCCAGCTGAGGAGATTCAAGGTCTCAACAGCCATTCATAGAACCTTTGACCTTGAGTACCACAGTCTGGTTTGATAATTGCTCTACCCTGTAAAGCTCAGCAGTGGGTGGTACATTTCACTGAATGTATCTGTAATGCTGATCTGCCATCCCTGCAGGACATTTACCTCAGATGTTGCCAGACATGACAAAATATGGAATGTGCTTCAGCTGCCTTTCGGTGAGAATTGAGAAGCTCAGAAGGAGCTTCTACCCTCAAGCCATTAAACTGCTTAATACTTAATTGACACTTGTATGTTCTTTCTTTCTTTATGTAACTGCCCAGCTAACATTTTTTCTTTCAAGGAATGTTTACTGAATGTTACAATTCAGGTATGGAAATGTTCAAAGTCTCCAGTTATCCTGACATTGCCAGAATATGGTGGGGTGGTGGCTCTGAGGCTAGGGATTTATGCTAGTAACTGGAAGGTTGCTGGTTCAAATACTGTGAATGCCCAGAGTGATTCTATTCTGTTGGGCCCTTGAGCAAGGCCCTTAACCTGCGATTGCTTCATCCTGGGTATGATGTTAACCCTCTGGAGTCGACGGCATCATCAGCGATGCCGAGTATCTTTCTTGTGTATTTCAGATCATAACTCGCTGAAATCTTATTATAAAAACATGAAAAAACGCTGACTAAATCCGTAATCTGTCTTCTTTTCAAAACGTCCATTGTCGGAAGTATTAAAGTTTTTAAAATTAGGTTAAATCGGCAAAAAAGTAAACCATGTTACCTTACTTTGTTTTACCTGCGTCGGGGGCGTGTAGTATTCACATTCTAAATAGCCACATTAGCGCGTATTCAAATCGTATTCGCATGGTAATTTGATGAACAACGCAACGGTGGAACGCGATCCAGATACATCCCCATCAGCGCCATAAAAGGGGGGGGGGGGTGTGGCCAGGTGACAATGGCTCATTCATACACATTAAAGTTGCTACATATTCAATGAAAGGAGCCAGAAATAGTGACATGAGTTTGGTTTTTCTTATTTATTTATCCAACTGAATGTTGCAACTACACCATTTAGCCAAGACTTTGCTGATCAGATATCTAGGATCAAAACAAACTGCCACCATTGCTTACTATGTACTTTTATAATGTGTCTGCAATTGTTCCAAACTGCATTTTGCAATGTCTATACTTTGATGTCAAATTACAAACTTAACATAAATCTGACATATTTACAAAGTACACTAAGATAAAGATGAGTTTAATGCCAAAACAAATATATAAGAAATAATTTATTTGCCATGAATTAAGTTTATGATATTGAATGAAATGTGTGACCATGCCCCAGTCAGTGAAAGTGTGTTCCCTACCCCTAGACTCTAGAGGGTTAATCTACATCCAGCCCTATAAGGAGGTCCTCCAATTTACAGGGAATAACTTGGATGTTGGTGGCAGGACTGACACTCCAGCCACCAGAAAAAACCTCCCACTAGTCCATTTGGACTAGTGTGGTGCTGAGGTATCACCCGCTCCATGGCTGCACTCAGATTCTCATCTCTGAGGTGGTTTGTCGTGTGGTGGGTGCGGCAACACGCTGTAATCAGTGCATGCTCCTTACCTCTCTGTCTACCCAGAACATCATCACACTACTACTACAACTAAGAATAATAATATAGAAGCAAATTAATATTAAAAATTACAATAACAACAATGCACTATGATGTGCTACAAATGCCAAACAAAATAATACTGAAAAAAAACAAATTAACACTTTGGAACTCTGGAACCAAGTACCCATTCGGATGACTAACACTGTTAATGTACCTAAAACAGTGGTTCCCAACCTTTTTTGGCCTGTGACACCATTTTGACATCACAAATTTCTGGTGACCCCATAGACATTTTTTTTTTGATCATGTTTGTTATACCCTGTTGCAAATACAGAGTAGTCAGATTAGTGCACAAAGTCACATTTTATTTTCCCTGATCACATGTACAGTTAGGCGAACTTGTCTTTACAATGCTGAAGGTGATTGCGATCATTTTATTTGAACTCATTTATATTTACTGATATTTATGAACGTGAAAGAATACAGTTGTTTAAGATTATATGTAGACTAGGCGACATGGCCTAAAAATAAAATCTCAGATTTTCCCCTCCCCCACTCAAAATCAAACTACAGATGACAAATAAATGGTTCAAAACAAGTTTTAACTTTATTATTTATTTATTTTTTACTTTAGGGTTAAAGTGCAATCTGACAAGCCAAAAAAGATGCTTGTAAGTGAAATGGCAGACCATGCCATTGTAAACACTTTTAGAAACTTTTAGCATGTTAATGATTCCCGGCTTTTCCACAGTATGTATGGGCACCATATCTTTTGCAAAACACATCGTGACAGCCTTTGTTATCGCCTTCCACCATGTCCCATTCTTATCATATGGCACACAGTTCGAAAACATTTCAGGGACGATTGCTTGCTTAACTTTGGATGTTGTTCTGGTGCTGCGGCTATTTTCATTTCGCTGGGAGCTGCACTTCTCCCTCTACGCTGCGTGCCTCTGCTTTAGGTGCTGGAATAAATTTGTCATGCTGCTTCCTTTGGTTGCAAGAGTTTTTAAACAGACTTTGCAACGAGGACTTGTTTGGTCTGTGTCCGACGGCGCAAAACCGAACCAACTACATGATGCAGATGTAGCAACACCATTCTTGGGCTTTTCACCTGTTGTTGCCATGTTGTTTGTGAATCTGCTAGTGTTTGGGTGTGCCACGCTAATTTACCTGTGAAGAACAGTGTGTCGCATTAGTTCCGCATTTGGCACTCGCGTGTAAAATAAGTAATAAAATCGATTTTCAAAAAAACACATCGTCCTGAACTGTAAATTCAAATTAATCGATAAAATCGATGTATCACCCACTTGTAATTGTACGTGGTGTTTTAATCATAATTTTTTAAATAATATATTCAGTAATATTACACCAAATTACTGACACTAAAATTCCCTTACTTGATTACTAAATTATTGTAATAATACAGATATAAATTATCTGCTCAGAAAAAAAGTGTCCTCTCCCCTTTCGGGAAACTGAAAGTCGGGGTTCTGGCCGGAATCGACCTCACCGGGGTAAGGGCAGAGGAGTCATTAGGGAGGTCCCCGAGGGGTTCCACTCGAGCTCCTCCTCCTCCAAGGGGGAAGGAGCGGTGGTCGAGAAGTCCGGGACCTCCTCGGGGACTGGGACTGGTGCTGGGGGGACTGGAGCAGGGTCAGGGACCGGGACTGGCAGAGTCTGGGCCAGGGCATCAGGCGAGGGCGGAGCAGGAGCAGGAGCCTCGGGGCGAAACAGCTGCAGGCAACGCCGGGGCCTCGGGCGCAGGCGGAACCGCAGGCGTAGGCAGGGCCTCAGGCAGAGCAGCAGCCGCCTCGGTCGCGGGAGGATCTGCGGGCATCACAGCAGAAACCAGGATCTCGGGCGCAGGCAGAGCTGCAGCAGGGAGCTCGGGCAGCACAGCAGTAACCACTGACTCTGGACCAGCAGGGGGCGCCGCAGTAACCGCCGACTCGGGACCAGCAGGGACCTCGGGCAGCGTATCAGCAACCGCAACAGGCACCTCGGGCGATGCTGCTGGAACCGCCAGCTAAGGACCAGCAGGGGGTGCTGCAGCTGGAGCCTCGCTGGGCGGTGCGGTAGCCGCCGGGACGAGCAGGTTGGGATCAGACAGGACAGGCGCTGGCAAGACAGGCGGGACAAGCACGTCAGGCGCCGGCGGTAGACTGTAGAAACTTGCATAACATTCTTTGATTATTTTCAGTGTCAGGTGTATCTCTAATAATACGTTTTCATGCAACGTTGAAGCTTTCCTAACCTCACAAAAAAACTTTTAAGGTCTTGTTAAATTTCCAGCCATTATTTCTTCAGGGGGCTGTAGGAATTTAACAGCTCAAATGGGGGTGGTTTTCCACCAATGTTCAGGGGAATTGATTATGAATTAATTAATGATTAATTCATACACAATTAAATATGGAATATTAGGTTTGAGTTGTTGTTCCGATATCACAGTCTTTATATTAGTCCCACTTGGTAAAGA